AACGAATTGGGCACAGTGGGAGAAGAGGAGTGGGGGGATGGTATTCCGGGCAGAGGTGAACTCAGCTGTGAGATGGAAGGGCGAGCAGAATGGGCCTGAGCCCAGCCCTTGCAGAGCTCGTGACCCAGTGGGGGAGACAGATCTGTCACCAGTGACACCCAGGATTGATCAGGGCTGGGATGTAGGAGCCCAAGGAGCTGAGGATGCCCAGAGGGGTCTTAGTCCTGAAGAAGGAAACACCTGAGACACATCTTGAAGAACAACTAGGAGTTAGCAGGCATTTCATAGAGAAAAATCAACAAAGTCAAAAGATGGTTCTTTGAAAAGGTTAATACTACTCAAGGGGAAAGACACAAATTTCCATTAAAAGGGATGAAAGATGAATTCAGATCCTAACTCTAGGATGACAAGAGTATATCATGATCAACTGTAGCCCCAAAATTTGGCAATGTAGAGGAAATAGACAGTTTCCTTGAAAAACACAATTAACAGTATTGACTCAAGAAAAAATAGAAACTCTGAATAGCCCTTTATCTGTTAGAGACATTGAATCTATAATTTAAAACCTTCCCCTTAAAGAAAATCGCAGGCCCAGGTGGCTTCAGTGATAAAATTCTTCCAAACATTTAAGAAAGAAACGAGGTCATTACCCAACTCTTCTAAATCCTAGAGAAAGTGGAACACTTATTCATTTTATGAGTCAAATGAGATACTGATGCCACAACCTAACAAGGTCATTATAAGAAAGAAAAATTTTAGGCCAAGATCCTTCTAAACATGGATTCAGATATCCTGAACAAAAATGTTAGCAAGTAGAATCCAGCACTGTATAAGAAAGATAATACATTATGACCTAGTGGTATTTATTCCAAGACTACGAGGCTGGTCTAGAGTTTGAAAAGCAGTCAGACCCGCGGGGGCCTTGTTTTGGACAGTCTCTTCTTTCCCCGTCCTCTACTTGTCTGTCCTTGTTCCAGCGCCGTCTTGTCTTAGTTACTTCAGCTTTGTAGTTAGTCTTGAAATCTGATTGTGTAAATCTTCAAACTTTGATCTTCTTTAAAATTTTCTATTCTTAGGACCTCTGCATTTCCTGTAAATTTTAGGGTCAGCTTGTCCTTAACAACAAAATACTTCATTAAGATGTGTGTTGAAGAAAAAAAAAGATGTGTTATGGGATTGTCTGGGTTATGCAATGCCCTGTGATTCAGCAGTTTCATTCCTGGGAAACCTTCCTACTGTAGGCTCCCTGAGTGTCCATCCGAGGGGTGTGGGTGAATGAACTGTTCAACAGTTCAACTGTCAACACAGTGGATGAACTGAATGCATGGCAGCACCATGAATCTCACATATTGTTGAAGAAAAGAAGTCAGAACAGAAAGAGTGATAGAGTGATCTATCACAAGGAAGACAGAATAGGATTTAAGGGAACATATCATCTATCATAAGATGTCAGAATAGTCATTTTAGGAGTACCGACTGGAAGAGGGCCATTTGGAGTGTGGGAATGTCCTAGATCTTGATCTAGGTGATGCTTACATATTACAAAATTATCCAGCTCTTGGGGGAGAATGGGTACATGTGTATGTATGGCTGAGTCCCTTCACTGTTCACCTGAAATTATCATAACATTGTTTGTTAATCAGCTATACCTCAATACAAAATAAAGATTTTTTAAAAAATTATCTAGCTCTGCAGTTAACATTTGTGTACTTTGTCTAAGTTATATTTCACTAAAAAGGGGAAAAAAAGAATGGATTGGGGGGCTCACTGGAGAGAAAGTTATTTACATAAATCAACTGTATCATCACTGTGTACCAGCCCCAGCCAAATGGAAAATGGAGTTTAAAACACCATGAATAATAATGGCAAAACTATTAGTACCTAGGAATAAATAAAATTAGAGACGTGCAAGGCTGACAGAAAGAATGGGAGGCTAAGTGGAGAGAGAGACCACACTCATGGACTGAAAGACTCGGTGTTGGGAAGATGTCACTGTCCTAAACATGGCCTGCAGATCTGGGGATTCCAACCAAAGTCTAGGGCAGTGGCTTTCAGCCTTGGACCCGTGTTCCAGTTGCACACACAGTCACGCAGTCCCACGCAAAACAAGAATAAAAGTTTTGTGAAACAGCCCTTGCCCTGAGTACATAAGATTGGCTTGGATGTTTTATATCCTTTTTTTGTTTGTTATATCGATGAGCTTGGTCTTTTGTTGTTGTTTTAGTTCCACATGTAAGTGAGATCATAGGGTATCTGTCTTTCTCTGACCAACTAGGGTGATGCCTGCAGGAAGGGGTACCCCTTCCAGGGCCCGAGAGGGTGCTCTTTTCTAACACCTGGAAATGCATTGTCCGAGGAGACACACATGCTGACAAAGCGAAAGACTTCACTGGGAAGGGGCACCTGGGTGGAGAGCAGAAGGGTAAGGGAACCCAGGAGGGCTTCTCTGTCACGTGGCTCACAGTCTCAGGTTTTACGGGGATGGGATTAGCTTCCAGGCTGCCTCTGACCAGTCATTCTGACTCAGGGTCCTTCCCGGTGGTTCGTGCATCACTTAGCCAAGATGGATTCCAGCGTGAGGGTTTCTGGGAGGTTGGCAGGATATATCATCTCCTCCCTCCTCCATTGGCTTCCCAGGTGGCGCTCGTGGTAAAGAACCCGCCTGCCAATGCAGGAGGCATAAGCAACTTTGGTTCAGTCCCTGGAGGAGGGCACGGCAACTCCCTGTAGTATTCTTGCTTGGAGAATCCCATAGACAGAGGAGTCTGGCGGGCTACAGTCCATGGGGCCACAGAGGGTCAGACATGAATGAAATGACTTAGCACTCACCCTCCTCCTTGGGCTCCTCCTGAATTCTGGGTTAATTTTATAAGACATGCTGTGGGCGGGCATATCCTCCCTCCTTTGGTCCCTTCTGAATTCTCCAGGTTAGTATTTAGCAGCAGTACCTCATTCTTTATCAGGACCTCCTGTTGCAACACAGGTATGCAAGTGGTTATCATCATACCTGACCAGGGTCAGTCACCAGTTCCCTAAAAATTACATTCTTGCTTATACTTCTAATGATAGTTTGTGCAACCACACTGACCTCATGACCCACTTATGAGATACGCAGTTTGAGAACTGTTATTCAAGAGAAAGTCAAGTCATCTTAGAAAATCATTGTCCACCTGAGAGCAAACTGCCATGTGCTCCATGGAGTAAGAGGAGAGAAGCTGGCTGACCTTGATCCTGAGGACACATCAAGGCATCCAGACCCCTCTGCCAGGCGGCTGTACCCTGACACAGCCCATCACAGGGACTCCTTTCTAGCGTAGTCACGTCACACCGAACAGTGTCTCCATGATTGTTGCCTTGTATGTGCCATTTATTTTCATTTTTCTGACTTGTCTGATGCACAGAGGGCAAGGGACTGTACTATGACCCCTGAACAGCTCGTGTGTTAAACCTTGACCTTGAGAAAGAATGGTCTGGCCTAGGGAGATAGAGGGGTGCGCAGTGGAGAGGGGAAGAGGGGCTGCTGGCTTCCTCCTCGGCCATGTTGGGAGCCAAGGGAGATGGTGAGAAGAGTGTAAATATAAGAATAAAATATATATAACAAATCACTTGTAGGAATGGGGAGCAGAGGGGCCAGGGAAAGATGAGGCGCTCATCTCTTACGGGGTGACTGGGGGACCAATAGGAAATACAGAAGATGTCATTTCTGTTGTGTTAGGAATACAACATTTTCAAACACCCGGAGCATCCTTTCTTTGAAGTATTACCAAAATCCACATACTTCTGTGATTTGGTGCCTGCCGTTGCCCGGTTTATAAGAAAAAAAAGAAGAGCAAGTTCTTTTACAGTCAAATTTTGTGTTGTCCCTTTTTGTCCTTGAAATTATACTTATAGTTTCATTCCCTGAAGAATTCTGTCTAATGAATGATGTATCAGCAACCAAAATATGTACAGAAATTCAAATTTGAGTCTGTTTAATTTCCTGTGTAAGGTTCTAAATGTTAAACTATTTTCTTCTGGTTTGAATTGCCTTTAAAATTATTGGTCCAAAAAATAAAATTATTAGTCCACAATTAATTAAAACATTTTATGTGTTCTACATTTTCTGAATAATTATTAAACATTAAAAGTAAAATAAGAGGTAGGAAAATGAATCTCCAGATGAGCCAGAAAACAGGGCATCACCCCCAATAATCCCAAGTATCCTTGGATGAATGTTAACTGTCACATGAGTGAGTCAGGGTTCAGCATCCATTCTGCCTTGGTTTCTAAGACTCAAATGCTGAGAATCTTCCTTCACAAAGAAACAGCTAGGCAAGGAAGTTTTTTGTTCCAGCAGCATCAGTCAGCTCTGAGCTTCTTCTAGGATATGTGCCCAGAACCTCACCGTGAGGAGCTCCATCTTCAGGGTCGATGAAGATCTAGGCTGGGAGCCAGACTTGCAGAGGATTCGGCACCCTGTGCTCACAGTCGCTTAGCATCCATTCCCACATTTCAGCTGCCCTTTCTTTGGATCCAGGAGCCCCCCACCCCCACCCCCACGCCACTGCATTTGGGGAAGATCTGAAAAGAAAGGTTTCTGCCTTTCTTAAGTGGATGGGATGATGGTACCCAGGGAGGTGGCTTGAGAGACAAGCAGAAGGAGCTAAGCTTCCAGCAGTTGACCCTTTCTTTACAGCTCCTGGGACTTTGCGCCCTGGGAGCTCCCGTAACCTTCTAGGAGCTTGGTCCCCAGTCTTAGAACCTCCCCTCTGGGGCACAGTTTCTCATTCCTGGCCCCTTGACAGAATCTTCTGGGAGATTTAAAGGATGCCCTCAGGGTCACCCCAAGAGGGGTGACTGGCATTCCTCAGACCAGGCCAGGGGCAGGGTCTTCTTTAAAGCACCCCCCTGGTGATTCTGGCTGCTGGGTCCCCAGTTCTCCGACCTAGCAACCGAGGCGTGGGGGGTGGGGGTGGTAGGGGGCCCCGAGCGCACGACCTGACCCCTCTCTTCCCTCGCAGTGTACCACTGGGTGGAGATGCGGACCAAGATGCGCATCATGGGCTTCCGGGGCACGGTCATCAAGCCGCTGAATGAGGAGGCGGCCGCCGAGCTGGGCGCCGAGCTGCTGGGCGAGGCCACCATTTTCATCGTGGGCGGCAGCTGCCTGGTGCTGGAGTACTGGCGCCACCAGACGCAGCAGCGGCGCAAGGAGGAGGAGCAGCGCGCCGCCTGGGACGCCATGCGGGACGAGGTGGGCCACCTGGCTCTGGCGCTCGAGGCCCTGCAGGCGCAGGTGCAGGCGGCGCCGCCAAAGGGCGCCCTGGAGGAGCTGCAGGCGCAGATGCGAGAGGTGCGCGCCCAGCTGCACGCCGGGGACCCGCCGTCCACACCCGGGGCTGCATCCACGTCCCAGGCAGTGTCCTCACCCAAGAAGTAGGAGCTTGCTGAAGCCTGAACTTGGACGTGGCCTTGTGTGCCCTGATGTGGTCTTCTCCCTGAGTTACCCCTGCCTGTGCTGGCCCAGGGGAAACCACCAGGATGTGGATGGATGGAACTTGGCTTAGGTCACCCTCCTGCTGACCCGTGATACTTCCAACTGTGACCAGTGGACCCTCCAGCCTCTGACTCAGGTGGTGCAGTCCGCAGTGCTCAACTCTCCCACCCACTCAAAACTGCGCAGACCCAGGACCCAGCCAGCAGGACAGCAGGCTCACTCCTCCGGCAGAAGACCTGGAACCGGACTTGAGCCAGATCAACCTGTCAGCCCCCATTTATGATGATCAGTGTTACGTTTCCCTGGGACGCTCATCCTTGACACCAGAATACCTCCTTCCCTTTGTCAGGTGGCGCCGACCATTGTGAGGAAGTGTCTTTCAATGCACTTCTGCCTCCCTCACCTTCCAAGGTGGGCTCTCTGGGCATCACTCCTCTCTTTGAGGGGAAAAAGCGGGGGATCTTGGCTTACAGTTGATCTGGCAAATATTATATCTTTCCCCTTAACCTGATCCATGGTCTCTTCCCCTGAGACACTCAAATGGAATTTTCCAACAGAACCAACCGCCACCCGCTTCCTTCAGTCTAGGGCACAACCCACTGGAATGGCTGTGCAGGGCCTTCTAGCAGTGCTCTGCCACTCCCACTTCTGGTGGAAGATTCGGTCCTGCCAATGGCTGGTCTGGCCTGTCTTGCAGCCTGAGCCCTCTGCTTACCTGTCCTCAGAGTCCTGGGCCTTTCCTGATGTGTCCTTTCCTGCCTTCCCACCGTCTTCTGCAGTGGTGTCGCTCAGGGGACCACCCACCATGGATTAGATGACCACATCCTCGTGTTCCAGCAGATCTGTAGATCTGTGTGCTCTTGCTCTCCTCTCATGGGGCTCTGGTCCAATAGCCCCTCTTCACGCAGTGTTACCCTCCTGCCTCCAATCCCCAAGTCCCACCTCCATCCCACTGGGCTTGGCTACCAGTTACCTTTGTTATTAGTTTCCAGGACTGCCATAACAAATTACCACGAACTCGGTGGCTTAAAGCAACAGGAGTTTAGGGACTTCCCTAGTGGTCCAGGGATTAAGGCTTTGCCCTTGTAGTGCAGGGGGTGCAGGTTCAGTCCCTGGTTGGGGACTGCACAGGCTCCCTCCCTCCACAGGCTCTAGGGGAGGATGCTTCTTGCCTCTTCAGCTTCTGTGGCCTCAGTCACCCCTGGGCTTGTGGCCACATGTCTCCAGCCTCTGCCTCCATCTTCCCATGGCCTTCTCTTCCTCCCTGTCTCTTTGTGAAGACTCCCGGCATTGGATTTAGGGCTCACCCTAAATCAAGGATGATTTCACATCAAGATCCTTGACTTAATTACATCAAAGACTCTGCAAATAAGGTCCCATAACTTCCTGGGTGAGACAGCCCAGGCGTACGTTGGGACTCCTGCCAACCCCGTGGGACATTTGGGGAAGCACGAGGGTGAGAGGAGCAGTTGGGGAACCATCCTTCACAACGTGGCTTCTCTTCCAGGACTCACCTCTGAAGCGGGAGGGGTCTGGGCCCCACCAGGCAGCATTCAGTCTTTCAGGCTGTTGCTGTTGTTTAGTTGCTAAGTCGTGTCCGACTCTTGCGACCCCATGGACCATAGCCCACCAGGCTCCTCTGTCCATGGGCTTTTCCAGGCAAGAACACTGGAGTGGGTTGCCATTTCCTTCTCCCGGGGATCTTCCTGACCCAGGGATCAAACGTGTGTCTCCTGCATTGGCAGGCGGATTCTTTACTACCGAGCCACCTGGGAAGCCCCTTTCAGTCTGTAGATGTTGCTTACCTAAAGGAGCCCTGGAGTGAGGAAGTCAGCTGAAGGATGTTTGGGAATCATGAGCTGATCTCCAGAACAGGTACAAGGCTTATTAAAATTAGAAGAGAAGCAAGAAGAAAGATGAGAGGGAGGTGGACCACTCGGGGAGGAGGCAGAGATCTCCACACAATAGCGAAAGGACGGGGTGCAGTTCTCTATCAGAACAGCCCCCCCATTACACCCAGTAGTTTCCTAGCAGCTGCAGGTGGAGTGGGAGGGGCCAGCTTTCTCTCCCTTTCTCCCTCACCTCATTTCCCCAGGGGAGTGAAAACCATCTGGACACAAGACCTGCCCAGATAGAAAACCAAGAAGCTGGGGTTCTGAGACAGCATCTTAATTCCTTCTAGAAGAGCCTCCACTGAGGTAGAGGGAGCTGAGGAGGTGGGCCAGGCAGGGATCCTTTTAAAATGGGAAGTGACTTGAGTGGGTTAGATGATGAAGGGAAGAAGGCAAGAGACAGAGCTGGCTCGGCATGAGGGAGTGGTTGATGGAGCCAGGTGAGCCAGCTCAGTACCTGTTTCCATGGTTACCTCTGGTGGGGGTGGGGTGGGGCCACCCTGGCACTGACACATCTCTGGAGCGGGGTTTCTGGAGGCCAGGGACTGTAACTGCCCTCCCCACATCACGTCAGTGTCAGTGACATCAATGTCAGTGACCTCTCTTGTCAGTTAGATGCGGTCATTATCAGAGTGGTGGTGGTGGTGGTTTAGTTGCTGAGTCATGTCCGACTCTTGCAACCCCCTGGACTCTGGCCTGCTAGGCTCCTCTGTTCATGGGATTCCCTAGGCAAGAATACTGGAGTGGCTTGCCATTTCCTTCTCCAGGGTATCTTCCTGACCCTGGAATAGAACCCTGGTGTCCTGCACTGCAGGCAGATTCTTTACCAACTGAGCTACAAGGGAAGCCTCTGGTGGAGTTAATTACTGAGTTCCAGTTAGGCGCGGGGCACTGTTCTAAGTGTCTCACATAGTCGGCATAACATTATTTTCTTTGTTTCCTTGATGAGGAAGCTGAGGCACAGAGAGGGAACGTCACCTACCAAGGGTCACACAGGAGGGGAAGAAGCAGAGGTGGGAAGAGAAGACGGGCAGTCTGGGTTGGAGCGCCTACCCCCTGCGCCACCCTGACCCTGATATAGTGCTGCTCTCACATCTCGGACTCTGAACTCAGCCCTGACGCATACCCATGTGTGGCGAGACTTTGTGGGGTGTAGCCGCTTCACCCACTGCGTGTGGGTGGGGTCAGCGCATGTGAGGGGAAAGAATCGCCCCCAAAACGCACAAGACCAGAGGATGGCTCATCGCTCTGGTTTCCTGCTAGCTAAAATTTTGTATCTATTTGTGACTTGGGAAAAGGGGTTAGAATAAATTTGTAATTCAAATTGGGTGTCTTCAAGTTGGTGTATTTTTTTCCCCACATTTAAAAATCCCTGTTAACTTTAGAAAAACTGTCCTTCGTTTATTCTTTCATTCAAAGAACTGTCACCGAGGGAATTGCCTGGTGGTCCAGTGGTTCGGACTCTGCACTTCCACTGCATGGGGCAGGAGCTTGATCCCTGGGTGTTGCCGCGCCTGACCAACAAACAAAAAACTGTCACCAAGGCGCCCACCATGTCCCTCACGTGTTCTGTGCAGAGCTGGTGTCCCAGCCAGGAAGGAGACAGCCCCAACCCTACCGCCGGGGACTTACAGTCCAGTGTTTCTCTTCCAGTGTTATCTGCCCTGTGGTTTATTTGGGAAGGAGGGACTCCTCCCCTCCTGAGGAGGGCTGTAAGCCACAAGAAGCAAATTCTTCAACAGTGGCTCACAAAAGCCTCATCCGGTATCCTGAGGACTCTGCCTCTCCCATCTCCTGGCAGACCCTGTTGACCCCCATGTTGGTTTCCCCGTTGCACAGGCCCTTGCCTGGGGAGAGTCACCCCAGGAGAAAATGGACTTCCTAAAGCCCCCACCTGACCCCCTGGCCCATCGCTGAGCTGGCCACTGTGATGCTGTGGGGCCAGGCTGGGGTCCCCCAGCCCCATAGGCAGAAGGAGAGGAGAAGGATGTCCAGAGGAGCGTGGAGAGGGCACCATCTACCCACTCACTGGACAGATGTTTACTGCGCTCCTGGCTGCATTCTATCTAGTAGCTGGGAGTCAGCCAGGGACTAGACAAGGTTGCCGCTACCACGGAGCCATCAGCTAGTGCGGGGACGTGGACAGTAAAGGGAAAAACCTAGGGTCTTCCCTGGTGGCTCAGTGGTAAAGAATCTTCCAATGCAGGGGATGTGGGTTCGATCCCTGGGGGTGAGGGGGGGACTGAGATCCCACATGTCTTGGGGCAATTAAGCCTGCGAGCCATGACTACTGAGCCCACGTGCCACAGCTAGAGAGCTGTGCACCACAACGAAGACCCAGCGCAGCCAAAAACGGAAAGGAAGAAAGAAGAAAAACTAATCCCTGTCTGGGTGATGAGGGCTGAGAAGAAAGTTTCAGGAGTAATGGAGATGGGGATGTAGATCAGCTGGTCAGGGAGGAGATGCGAGGATCCCTTTTGGCAGCCGCCAGAGCGAGAAAGGGTTAATAGGCCCTGCAACGGTGTGGGGGTCTGCCTTTTCCTGGACCTGCAAGAGGCTGCTACTAGAACAGAGCTGGGGTCAGCGGACTAAGGCCTGGCGCTGCCTATCTTTGGGAATAAAGATTTATTGGAATCCAGCCACGCTCATTTGTTTATGTCTTTCTATGGTTGCTTTTGCACGGCAATGAGAGAGTTGAGTCATTTGTGAAAAATACCATTTTGCCTTCAAAGATGCAAATATTTACTATTTGGCCCTTTACATAAAGAAGAGTTTACTGACCCCTGGAACAGAGTAAGCAAGGGAAGAAGGATGGGCAAAGGGCTCAGGAGGACAAAGCCTGGCCCCCTTGCCTCAGCTGGCACAACTCTGGAGGGGCCAACCAGCTCCCACACCCCCACGCGGTCAGCTCTTACCGCCCCCTGCCTGGTCCTGCTTCCATCACTCTTCCAGTCCCCACCCACA